ATTTTGACTCAAAAGGTCAAGACGAGATTTTTTATGAGATTTACAAGAAATCTTTTAGCCATATAATCTTCTACCAAGTATATATTTTACGAATTTCAAACTTTTTCAGAGCACAGTTTTACTTTGTTTCTTTTTGGCTAATTGATCCAGATTTTCAAGGTACCCACAATTGTACAATCCCGTCATTAACCATGTCAAACCAATGCGCTGTTCCTATGAAGTAGTTTTTCCATTGTGAGTCAGTTGAGTTGTCTACAGTAGTTACAAATGAAGTTGATGATCCATTTCAGGTATTCTTTGCCATTCATCTACCTACTTTTCTTGTTATGTACAGTCTTGATGTTTCGCACAATCCTCTACGTTATGGTGTTGAAGCGAAAGAGAGACGCAAAAGCGTTCTACTGTGCATTACTATCAATACCTAAAGTTGCTATTGTACATGCATTGCTTGTGAGTTGTTTAAAAACACGCAAGTTTACGTTATCTCTCCAGAATTTTCCTGCTTTGAGGCTGGCGTATTGTACCAATCGTACCCTTATATAGTCATGTTATGGAGCCTTGGTGCTAATGCCGTACATCTTGCAGTGGAGGGAAAATTGTCAATGAAGGAGATAGCGAGTAAGTGAGATTTCTTTGAGGTTCATTATCTTAATGTCTTATTACAGAGGTCGTTTTCACCTCGCCACTGCACATAGCAATGCTGATTGTAAACATGTCTTTACTGGCGTTTGCTCTGTTAGCTCTCTCAGTGCAAAAGTATGTTCTTTTATAATCCTCATATTCAATATGTTTCTAAATCTTTCTGTTTCTACTCGAAGCCTCACCTGCATTAATCCTCATGGTATTGAAAATGAAAGTTACGACTGGAATAGCTACAGCTGCAAGTTCGAATCCCCTATTATTGGAATTTTTTGAAGATCAGAACAAAAGTAATCATGCTTAGAGGTTTACTTATAATCACAAAGTTTGAGTGATCTTAATTCTGAAATTGCTGGTCCTTACCGTACCACCCGATCCTGCATTAAAACTAACGATTGATGATCTGGTTTTAGATCGTTTATCATCACGAACGTAAACATCATATCTGTATTGCACCCTATCATCACATCATTAAATCCGATAGCCAAAGTTTAGAGAAGGTTGGAATTTTGCGAAGTTTTTATCATTGGACAATGGTAGTAAACTACACAAAATTTTTTATCGGATTGGATAACCATTTGCGCTTTCGGATCAGTCTCAACAAAGAACTAGAATTTTGTTTATATTCTTTTCAATGGAAAACTGCTATTTCAAGTTGTTCAACGCGTGCATTGAAACTTGCCATCTGTTTTTGTTATCTTAAGCCTTTTTTCGTTCCCAGCAAAGATAGAAGGACCGTCAAGGAGTCGTAACGAGCGTTTTGTTGAAGAAAAAATAACTATTGAACAATTGCTTTCATAACATTGATTCTTGACAAATCTTGCGCTATATCCCTTCGATCTCTAATTTGCAAAACCCAAATCTTTCTTTCTGTTGACGCCTACAGAACGTTTTCAAAAAGTTTAGGCTCCTCACTGCATTATTTTTTTCGATAGACGTTTGATTGACCAAATAAGGAGGCAACTGATTACGGAATCTTTCAAATTGTGCAAAGTGGTTGTAGTGGAAAAGCATCAGCATCGATGCATCTCTCAGGAATAAGAGC